ACCAAATGTCCCCACAAGGATAGTAATACTAGTAAATTTTGACCTTGTGGGGACATTTTTGAGGTCCCCATGAGGAAACAAGCTTATAAATCATAGAGAATGAGTTTTTTTGAGAAAGTAAAAATGCACAAAGTTTCCTGTAAGGGGTAGGGTTGGTGTAGGGCAATAGCACATACAGTTTGTACAGTATAAAAACCATTACGCCTATGGAATGTCCCCATAAAACATGGAAACACAACATGTGTGTGTGTGTGTGTGTGTGTCTTTTTTAGAGCTTAACAGTCCCTGGTCATTACTGCTGTTATTATACGGAAAAGAGCAGTGTGAACATTCTTCAAAATTTCTCCTTTTTTACTTTCTACAGAAGAAAGACAGTCATACAAATTGAGTTAGTGATGACAGATTTTCCATCTCCGGTTTAGCTTTAAATCTATAGAATAAACAAAGTACCCTAATCACAGGCCAAACCTAATTATCTAGTTAAGATCATTAAAGCACATCATGCAACATTACCCACACAGCCGAGGGGGAGGATGGATAAAAGAGGGGGAAGAGCAGCTCAGTCTTTCTCCTGTCATCTTACTTCAGCTCAAAGGACTCACATGCCCCCTTCCCCAATCCATGCTACTTCCTTCCTTCCGATATTTCACATTTCTGGGATTGCAAGTTTCTCCACCAAACATCTTTTTCAAAACAAATGCGCAAAGAGCCTAAGGGTTCGATCAGTGTGTAAAGGGTGTTTGAGAGAATATCCACCCTCTTTTCCACCCTCTCCACATGCATACTTCCAAACAAATGACCTTTCCCTATCCAGATGTGTTTCACAGTTGAGTGAAGGAGACTGAGGTTGGGGGTGGGGAACACACTCGTCTGTCTCAACCTTGTTTATTTCCTCCTTTCTCTGTCTTTCCTGGGCTGTGCAGAACGTGTACAATATAATATCTCCTCAGCTCTTATTAAGAGTTTCCTATCAGCTCAAACTCTTGAAATGTCCACCCCTTAGGGAGTAGGTTACCTGCCAGGAAATTTACAGACATTAGCTGCAAACAAAACTGGCTGAACGGACTCAAGTGGAAGTTTGTTCAACTCCAGCACAACAGTGAAAAAATCTTTATCCTCTCAGCTGGTCTGCTTCTCACACCAAGCAACCATATGGCTTCCGAAGACTTGGAATATAGCGCATGGGTCGTATGAACAACTTTGGGGATTTTAGTCATCATATGTTGTCACTGTAATTGCAGGGGCATCTCCTTTTGTGTTTTATGAGAGAAGAAAAGCCATAAGATTAGATCTATAGAACGATGAGTAAATGATCCCTTTAGTCTCTACTCAGTTTCAACCAAAACATCCACAATAAAGTCACATTTGTGAAGCAGTTCTGGTTTTTCTGGAGAGCATATATGGCTGGATGGCCTACATAATGGCAAAATATACATAACACAATTCAACGAGAGCAATTGTGCTGTACAATAAATTGCTAAAATGAAGTGCAATTTCTGCATCACTAACATCACCAAATGGAACTGCAAAAATAATAACTATTTTTCAAAAGGCTCCCCAAACTCAGTGTTGGCGTTGAGATGCTCGGGATGTTTAGACGGTGTTACAGAGTCAGAGTGCTTGCACTTTTCAGAGGACAAATTGCTTTCTTATACTTGCATGTCAATTTGGGATACGGCAATGTATTTTAACATTACATACTCCAGCTTCCCCCAAGTGAAACTAATTTAACGCCATATTAATTCAAAAGTCATTAAAAATGTATAATTGTTTTTTTTTGTTATCTTTTTTTATCTATCTATCTACGGCCGACAGATCTTGGACCACAGCCAGGTGAGCGACAACTGATCATCTTAAAATATTTGTCTGTCATTACTCAGTATTAATTAAACTATACATTTGCCTGTCGTCTCAGGGTATGCTTTAAACTGGACGATACTTTTGAAAGAATTTTGGTATGTTAATTCCTTGTTTTAGAGGTTGCTTTAAGAGGGAGACGAAAGTGTGCGTCACCTCAAAGGACCCCAGAGACAACAGCAACCTTCTGTGTACTTCTCTGATAGGGGCCCCTTAATTAACACCATTGATGAGCTTAGCCAGCCACTGAACATGAAGTCTTTCAGCTCAGTGAGAATGCATATTCTATACAGCGCTAAAACGGCCATTGTGAGAAAATACTGTGTTATAATCAGAGTATTTCATTTTTGGGTGAACTACACCTTTAAGAAAATGTTTTAGGTCTACTCAAACTAATAAACATGATTTCATTCGTAATGGCAAAACAATGTAACTGCACTTTGAAATCTGTTAGAAACATGGAGGAATTTAGCATTATATACAGTAACTTGCTCACAGATGGATTCTCTGCAGAGTTTTAAATAAAATAAATAAATCCATCATTAAGGTCTTTTAAATTTAAACTGTTGCAATTATGGTGTCCATAATCCATAATAATGCTTCCTCCATTGAAAAAGTCCATCCCCTGCTGTCCTCTCACATCAAACTTCAGCCACATATTTGTTTAGAACTGCTCCGGACTGTTTCTGGACTTCTTGATCTGTGCATATTTCTCTCCTGATTCAGACAAGACAACTTTTTCACTGAAAAAAAATAATTTTATTTGTATTTTAGCCTTAAATAAGCAATCTTAATGACAGACAGAATTTGGCTTCTCAAGATGTGAACTGATGGACTGGAGTGTGGCTGGATTATTGTGATGTTATTATAAACAGTTTGGACTCTCATTCTGACGGCACCCATTCACTGCAGAGCATCCATTGCTGAGACACTGATGCAATGCTACATTTCTACAAATCTGATGAAGAAACAAACTCATCTACATCTTAGATGGCCTGCGGGTGAGTGCATTTTTAGCACATTTTCATTTTTGGGTGAACTATACCTTTAAGAAAACGTTTTAGGTTTACTCAATAGCAAAACAATGAGATAAATATGTATGTAGGTTAGTACGTATGCGAAGATACTTTGTAGACTAACATTGTAAGTTAGTTCAATCTGCCAAAATCTCCCTTTGGGATGTTCTCAATGTCAAAATAATTAATAAAAAGCGTTACTTTTTTAAGTTTTGAAGAAGCATGAATCCATAGCAAGAACAGTCTGTAGTAATTATGAGGAGCTTCATTCATTCATTCATATAACTGTAGGTCCTCAAATTTGAGTGTGCTCCATACAGTGTAACTGAAATACAGTGTCACAGCACTGGGGTGTTTCACTATTTGTATCACTCTGCTTTTCTGTCATCGCAACATTCCAGACATTCATCCTGAAACACTCACTCACTTTCATTCACAGCCTCCTATAATGAATGGCAGTGGTGAAGGAGGGAAAGAAAAATAGTGAGCAAATATGCATAAATACTGAGCAAGGCAAACAACTTGAGATACAACTGTCTCATAAATGTATTTTATTGTACATGTAACTTACCTTAAAAAAGTGCCTTGCACGCCATCGGAATCAGCAGATTCTCTTAAGTTGATATATAACATTTACTCAAAACTTTCACTTAAATGCTAATATTGTAGTGAAGACTATATTTGATAATCTAGTACATTCAGTAATACAATAAATATCAATATTATACATTAGACTGAGCTGAATCTCAATCCACACTGGGTTAAATATAACCCAGCGCTGGGTTAAAAAGGGACAAGCCAGTTGTTTTGACCCCAGCTATTGAGTTGTTTTGACCCAGCTATTGGGTTGTTTTGAGCCAGCGCTGGGTTAAAAAGGGACAAACCCTGATATTGGGTTGTTTTAAGCCAGCTATTGAGTTGTTTTGACCCAGCTATTGGGTTGTTTTGAACCCAGCTATTGG